AAATGTATATAAACAAAAGAACTAACCTAATCATACACACTCGGGCTTGAGTGGAGGATCTGGCCATTGCCAAAACTCCAATAGATGCTTATTTACAAAAGGTCTCTGGGCCACTGCCGCTTCAACCTTCGAGGAGGATTGTAAGGATGGGTGGTGCTGGATAGAGATTGTGCAAGGGGATTTGGATGATAGGTAAGGTTTTGGTGAAATTTGGAGAATTTTTCTGGAATAAGGTCTAGGACAAATGGGATATTAAGGTCATGGTGTAGGATTTTGTTATTTACATAGAACGGAGCATCAACTATTGTTCGAAGGACTTTAGATTGAAAGGATTGAATACGTTTGATGTTAGAAGCTTTTGCTGTCCCCCACAGTTCAAGTCCGTATGTCCATATAGGTTTCAGTATTGTCTTGTAGATAAGTAATTTGTTTTCAATAGAAAGTTTGGATTTTCTGTTTAGTAGTCTGTATAGCTGGCCGTATCGTCGGTTGAGTTCTTGTCTTTTGAGTCTAGTATGTGGGTTCCACGTTAGTCTTCGGTCTAAATGAAAGCCAAGATACCGGACTGTGTCTGAGTAAGGAAGCTGGATGGAATTAAAGTGTACTGGTGGACAGGAACTGCGTCGGAGTGTAAAGGTAATATGTTGGCATTTAGATTCATTAACTTTAATGCGCCAGTTATTACACCAGTGCTCAATCAAGGTGAGGTGGTTTTGGAGATTTAAGGATGCTATGTTGGGATCAGAGTTGGATGATAAGATTGCGGTGTCGTCAGCGAATGTTGCAAGAAAAGTATCGGGATGAACAGGGATGTCAGCAGTAAAGAGGATGTATAGCACGGGACCCAAGACGCTGCCTTGGGGAACACCGGCTTTAACGGAGTAGATATTGGAAAATTCTGTTCCACAGCGAACTCGGAAGGAGCGGTCAGAGAGGTAGGATCGGAGGACTAGGTACAAGGACTGAGGTAAATGGATTTTAAGCTTGAAGAGCAGTCCGGAGTGCCATACCCGGTCAAATGCCTGTGCAATGTCCAGAAATGCACCCGAACAGTATTCCTTGTTTTCTAGGGCTGAGGAAATATGATCAACAACTCGGAGTCCTTGTTGAACAGTAGAATGTTGGGAGCGAAAACCAAACTGATGGGAAGGAATATTTTGGGATTCTATAATGGGTAGGATTCGTTTCAAAAGGATCTTTTCAAAAATTTTTGAAAGGATTGGGAGTAGGCTAATTGGTCTATAGGATGTTGAGATATTGGGAGGTTTGCCTGGTTTTTGGAAAAGGATAATAGTGGAGTGTTTCCATAGCAGAGGAAAGTGGGTGGTGCGTAGGATACAGTTGTAGATATATGTAAGGAATATGACTGCTTTGGATGGAAGTTGTCGAAGGATTTGAGGGGTAAGGAGATCATGTCCAGGAGCTTTACGGGGGATTAATTTTTTTAATTGAAATTTCACTTCGGAAGGATGAATAGCTTTTGGGGGCAAGGAAAGTGGGATTGGTGATGTAAGGAGTTCTTCTACTGTTACGGTGTGGGCAGGATGGGATTCCGGATGTGAAATAAATGTATTGGATAGGTGAATGGCGAACTCCTCAGCCTTATCTTCGTCAGATGCTGCCCAGGAGCCATCATCTCGTCGGAGGGGATGGGAAATGCGGTGAGGATTTAAGATTTTGGTAGTGGTTTTCCAAAGGGAATTGTCGCGAGAAGAAAGGGAGGATAGGTAGGAGTTGAAGGAATGTGATCTGAAGGTGGCTAATTCCAGTTTTAATTTTTTGCAGTAATAATTATAGGAGCAGCGGTCGGTAGGATGTCGGGTACGTTGCCACAATAATCTGGCACGGCGTTTGGTTTGGATTAGGTCAAGGAGGTGTTGGGGTAGAATGGTCTTTTTAGGAATTCTGGAGGAGTCTTTTGGGAAGGAAGCAGTCCAGGCGGCTTGTTGGATTGTGGTAGTAAAGGAATTTACGGCACTATCAAGGTCATCGGGAGTTTTGAGGGATATGTTAAGATCAATTTTATCGGAGATGATTTGGCGGAAAAGGTCCCAGTTAACTGGGCCCCTAATAAATGACGGTGGAGAAGGTTTGGGAACGGGTTCAAGTGAAACATTAAGGATTAGAGGACTATGGTCAGAGGAAAGTTCATTTAGACGTGTAATGGAACAATTGAGGGGACTTAAGCCGCTGTGGATAAAGAAATCAAGAAGATCAGGATTACGGTTGGGATCTGTAGGCCAGTAGGTAGGAGAGTTGGGGGAAAGGAGGTGAAAATGTTGGGAATTGAGTGCAGACAGCAGGGTTCGGCCACGAGTATTCGTGGTTCTGGAACCCCATTGTTGATGTTTGGCATTTAGGTCTGCACCCAAGATGAAGTGATGTCCTAAGGAGTCGAGGAGAGAACGGAATTGGGCATTGGATATGGATCGGTTAGGAGGGCAATACGCTGATGCAAGGGTAACCGGAAAGGAAAAGGTTTTTATCACGATAGCGGTGGACTGTAGGAAATCATGTGTAGGTAACGGGAGTAGGTGATGGGAGAGGGATTGGTGTACAATGACAGCAGTACCGGCATGTGCTTTTCCGTCAGGGTGGTCAGTACGATATGTCAGGTATTGTGGTATTTTGAAGTGCTGTTTAGTGGTTAGTCGAGTTTCAGTAATTAGTGCCACGTCAATATTTTTGTCAAGTAATAATGTAGTTAGTTCGTTTGTGTGATTTCTAACACCATTCGCATTCCAAAGGAGAATGGATAAAGGTTTATTGGAAGTCATTTAAGGATTTTTCGCGGGAGGGATAAAATGTGATACAAGATTGGTGAGAAGAGATATCAAAGGAGTAACAAGGGATCTGAATTCGGAGAGGAAAGATGTAAGTAAACTGGTGAGATCTGTGGTATTTGAGGGAGGAGGAATGCGGGGAATTTGGTGTTGATAAAACTGTTGATTAGGTGAAGTTTGATTAGGATGTTGAGGGTGGGGTTGAGAATTTTTAGGTATGTGTTGTTGTTGCGGCAGGGTCTCACAATAAGTAACATCATTCTTACCTCCTAATAAGTGTGCAAAAGACACCGTTGGGTCAATTTTTTTTGAAGGTCCTCTTCTTGATGCGTTAGGTTCTCTTCTTGATGCCTCTGCTTCTTCTTGGGTCCGGGATTTTTGATATCTTGATTTAATATTCTTGTAGATCTGACAGCCTTTGTAGTTCGCTGGATGTCCTTCAAGGCACAATGCACAAACTGCAGGATCCCGTTTCGGTTTTGTGCACTCCCCGGATTTGTGCTGCTCTCCACATTTCACACAGCGCGGCAGATGATGGCAGTAAGTCCTGGTATGGCCATATGCCTGGCAATTGTGACACTGTACGATTTCCCTCTTAGGATATGGCTTCTCTACTATAACACTTGTGTAGTATATTCTTCTTATTTCGTATATTTTTTCGATCCCTTGATTTGGCTCCAAATCTACGAAAAATAAGGGTAGAGGAACTTTTACTCCTGGCTGTTCTTTACTCTCCTTCTGTACATTTGTAATCTGGCGCACTATGAAACCTGAAGTTTTCAATTCTTCTTCTATTGCTTCGGTTGGTGTTGAGGGGTGTAGATTTCTTATGACTACCCTCAAAGCTCGATCTTGCCGTAATTGGTACGTATGAAAATCCGCGTTGGTTTCCGTTAGATACTTCACAATTTTTCTGTAGGTTTCAGCTGTATCTGGTGATATCTTCGTGTCCTTGGTTCTGCTTAGACATGAATAGCTTCCAGAGCCTGTTATTTTGTTCAGTTGTGAGCATAGTAACTGAAAATTGTTTATGTTTTTAACGAATATGGGTGGAGGTCGGGGATCTCTTGGTATTGAAGCGGATTCCATCACTTCTTTATCATTCTGAAGCACCTGATAGGGGTTAGGGGTGAAAAACGGAGATTGTTCGGTTATCTCTTGTGAAGATGTACCTGGTTGATGCTGAAGTTCTTCAATTGTTGGTTTTGATGATGTTCCTGGCTGGGTTTCATTTTCTCTGGATCTAATAGGCGTTACTGCAGGTGTTTGACGACATTGACGAGGCTTTTGTTTGACAGGCGAAGAACAAGGTGTTGAGCCTAAAGGCCGAATTCTCTTGATGGAAGCTCTACTAGACATGGCCTGATTGTGATATCGCATATAAGGGAAAAAAAAATGAAAAAAAAAAATAAAATAAAATAAAATAAAAATAACCCTATAATTTATAACAAACAATAAATATCAATTGTTGTTATGTATTCTTGACTTGTTTTGAATAAATAATCTCAAAGATTTCACTGCCAAATAAGCAAATTCTGAGAGACGATGTAGAAACACGTCCTTTCGCATCAGCTGATCCACTGCCTTCCAGTAATAAAAGTAAAGAGTTAAATCAGAAAAACGAGTAATTAGTGTAAATAACAATTTACAGTAATTATAGTTATTTTCACTGATTACTCGTTTTTTAATTCTTACTTTTGATATACAATATTTAACTTTTTCATTTATTTGTATCAAAAATCATTTCAATGTTCTTAATATATTATTACCATACATATTTAATCTTACTAATATCATCTTGTTACTTTTATTCTGAGCTCTTTTATCCTTACACTTTTATATTTATTATTTTACTGATATTTATTATTTTATATTTTGTAATTTTTAGCCCTGAGGATGACCCACATGTTTGGTTCGAAACGTCGGCTAACATAATAAAAATTCTTGACTGTAAATCCTGACAATTTTGTTTCATCTTAATAATGGATCAGTCGGCTAATTACCCCTCTCCATTTATTAATATCTTTAGTAGAGCTTCTTCTTCCTACAGATAACTTAACAGATCTTCTAAAGACCAACAACTAGGGCTGGGACTGCGGACGTGGAAGCCATCGCACCCTCATTGATCGGCGATGGGCAGGAAGGTAGGTGAGGCACCCACCATTCCAGGACGTATTCAATTAAGTGGAAATCAGAGGCGAGTCCTTTTGTCGGTCCCTATTTTATTTGAAGGAGGACGAAGGAATCTCCTTCCCTGTCTTCGGCAAGGACAAAGCTCTGCAAAGAACCTTCTTTACAGCTTCCCCTATATCCTAGCTTCCCCGCAGGGACTTTGAATATTGTAGGGCTACACTGAGGAGGGTTGCTTTGATTATGTGTTCGCGAGGGAATACCTTAACCCATAAGAATGATATATTACTTTTGATATGGAGATATTATATTACAATGGGTATTATAACTCCTTTAGACAGCTAGATTGTATTTCATAACCTTTTCATCACCATGGTAGCAAAAGTTTACAATAAGCAAACATACACAAATTATATCTTTCGTTTTTTTTCAACATTGATAAGAATTTTATATCAACGACGTAAACATATTATGTTTAATTACTGCGATGAAATGGTTTAAAAAATCTATTTATACGATGAATGAAATTGAGAATGGGGGAAGAAAAAAAATATGAATTGGAGAATATTATAATTAGACAAGATCTAGAGGAGCCAATAATAATCGCTTCATGATTAGGTACATATTTATGAAGAAATGATCAAGAAAAAAAATTAGCTTACGGCTTAAAATACAGAAAATTTTCTATCATTTGTATTTTAGAAAAATAAATAAGTATCCCTCTCCAATTTCACAAACGCTGGCAGCAACTTTTCAAGATTCATGTTACCCTAGATAATTTCTTTTTTGTTCAGCCAATTGAAATACAAACCGAATCTCCTATCCCTTCTCCTATGTATTTCCCAGTTGTGGAGCTACCGTCTTGCTACACAATAAAGACTTATTATTTTAGGAATTACTTGAAATAGTTGTCCTGATAACTCTGACATTTAGTAAATTACAAAAAAATCTTTGTTAAAACTTATGTCTACATAAATTAATATAAAAACCATAGATTCTAACTATAGGAAGGAAATTTTTTTTAATTTAAAAAATCAAGAGAAAAACGCCTATTTTTTTTTCTTGATGTTAATCGAAGTTATTACCGTACTTAGTCTAATTATGTTGCCTACAAATAAATTCTACTCATTAAAGTTTTTTTTTTTTTGGTTTATTATATGTTTTAGATCCCTCATCCAACGCCTTTTTAGTTTCCTCCTCATGTTCTGAGGTATGTTAGCTGTGGCCATGTCTCTCATCTGTGGCCATAAAAAGATATATGGCCACAGCTGACATACCTCAGAGCATGAGGAGGAGACTAAAAAGGCGTTGGATGAGGAATTGGAACAAGTTAGGGAAGACGTACTGCTGAGTACTTTCCTTCCCCATGCCTGTCATCTCATTATTTCATGTATCGCCATCACATTTGTTGATTGTCAACAATAAGTCGACAGACACAGATACATTTTTTATTGACAAAAAAAGATTCCTTTCTCGACTATTTATAAAATTTTATTTTTAACGTTTCCAATTATTTATTTTTTAATTGATGTTTTATTTTAATTTATCATAAATTACTTTTTTATTTCTTTTTGTTTATTTAATTTTTATTTGTTGCCTATATTTTAATGTTTACTTATTTTTCTATAATTTGTATCACATTTTCAATGTGATGTTTTATATTTTTGAAATCTGTTCGTATAAGAAGATACCTCAACGACGAATAATAAAATATAATATTGATTCGAAACGGAAGAATGGATAAGTTCTTTAACGACTACGTCAAAGTTACTTGAAGTCTCCTCGAATTTGACGAATGAGCCAACAACAGTTACTAAACTTTTATTACGTTTCAGTAAAATCGAATGTCAACTCGTCCAACAGTTTCGGAACTTGTTAACTTCCGACAATGGCCCACTCACAATAACTTCCCATCAAATCCTCGTCTTCTTCAGACACTCCACGGCCGTCTGGAGTGCTAGCATAGATTTCCGTCCCGGTGGTTTCCCACGTCTTAATCGATTCCTCGACGCGTTTCCCGGAAGCTTCGCCGAGGTGTAAACATCTGCGGGATCTCGGGGCGTGATTGTTTCCTCTCAAGTCGGAGTTTAAAGGACAAAGGACCGCTAATCCGAAGCCGTTCCGGTATCAAATTACTGCCCCCGACCGATTGTTTGTCCCCGCGGTACTCCATTCATCGACGAGCCATTGTCTCCCGGTAGGGCCTCGCTGGAAGCCACTACCGGCAACTACAGAGTCATTACCGGAATTGGAGGGGAATGTCCTTTCGGCTGGGTTAACCGCCTTGTTACTGAGGTATGCGATGGGCGAGGGGTAGAGGGGTTGGGGGTTGGGGGTTGACTACTGGGATTGGAACTGGGTGTGAATTACCCAGGCCCGACCCGTCTAATTAATGCTCTATCGATTGGACTCTTTTGAAATTAATTGAATTACAGGACAAAAACTCGTAACTTTTATTTAGTTTTTTAAAAATATAACAAGTCAATAATTTTTTAAAAAAATAATGCATATTCAAATTTATTTGGATTCTAATTATTATTATAATTTGTCTTTTTAAAACTCCCATACATTTTTACCTCATATATTTTATTATTTATAATTGATCGTTTACGTTTAACTGCAAAAGTCTCTATCTTCATAACATTGTCTTGTATAAATCATAACATTTTTGTCTAATTTACACAAATTCTTGCTTTAACTATTTTTATATAATAATAATAAAGTAGATGTATATCTTTTCATTATAATTTATTAGTGATGAGTCATCTTTAAAGTCAATCAATTTGATGTCATAATATGTTCATTAAAAGGCCTAACAAGGCCTGTACCTAATCTACTTCATCAATTCAAACTAGACATGTTAGATTTGGTTTGTTTTTGAAATATATATATTGAATTTAAATTTGCAATTAAAATTCAGACAAATTACCTCCTATCTATTAACTTGGGTTTTAAAAAAATGTATAACTAAATAGTTAAAGAAAATCAGACTGATATGTAAAATATAATGTATTTTTTTTCATACAATTCGTGAAACTTATGACTTATAAAGTTAAATTTAAAAAAATTGTTTTATGAAAAATTATAAGTTTATTTGTTAAATACCAATATTTCTTTTTACTATTTTACGGCAAAATTCACACCTGCCATAATCTTCACAATCAGTAGATTTGATATCGTTGTTAATAATGACATAACAAACGTAAGAAAGGATAGTACCGAGCAGCACCTCTTCTTCATGTTTGTTTACTTCCTTAATTCGGAAAAGAAGATCTCTCCAGCACCTCTTTAGTCTGTTGCTGCGTCTTTGTAGTTTAATATGAAACTGGAAGTAAAGAGTGCGTTGTGTTAGTCGATGGTTGGTTGTCGTAAGTCGGTATGTAAAGTTTTGCTTTTTCCTTACCAAAGAGTAAAATAGTAGCTGTTATTAGTCTTAAAATTTCATAATGAAAGATTGTAGGTTTAGTGAGTATTCTTAGCCGAACCGTAAATCTGTTCATATGGGTTTAAATATATATTTAATTACGTCTAATTACTAAGAGACTAAAATATTTTCAGTCACACATTTAAAGTCTTTCTTTTCATTTTGATCTGTGGACCCCAGGCCATCTTTCTGTTCATAATTAGTACATAGTATCAATATTTTAACTTATATTTGTTAATTAATTGTTAATACAGTAACATGTATTTAAAAACATAATTTATCAAAAAATAAACTATTCATCAATAAGGATTTTCCTATTACTGAAAGGTGTTTTAAGATGACTGAATTACATTGGTATGCAAAAGTACATATAGATATAGCGAGTGTTTTAATAATAAATTAAAAGAAATATCAGGTATTTTGACCTTGGACTTACGACCAAACTGGAATTGTAAGAACCTTGATAAGTAAAGTATCGAAGATATAAAAAATAGAAGAACTGGCAATAATAAAGATCCAGGTATGCAAAATAATATTACTAGTACTAAATGTTTAAAAAAGGAGAGTTACAACATACCTTCAGTTAACTGTGAGCCTTCTTCATCTTCCTTTCCAGCTGGAATAAACAAAAAATGTATTAAACACGATTATAAAGGATTTAAAATAATTAGTTTTCTACAATATAATTGAAACCTAGATTGTATTAATATATGTATTTCTGATGCACATACATGTGCACTTTAAATAAATTGTAACCGATTTTCATCAACAGTAATCTTAATGAAATATAAAAATTTTATTATAAAATTTATGTGATTAAGAACTGAATTATAAATTAATATTATATATTAAAAAAATAATATTATATATTAAATTATATATTATATATTAATATTAATATTATATATTAAAAAATTATAAATTAGCATTAAAAAATAATATTATATATTTTTTAACATATGTATATTTAAAATTGCAAGATAAAATAAAAAGGAAACAACATCATGCAAGCAATAAATATATATTATTATTTTATGCACTTTTTTTATTAAAAAAATATAACAAAAACTCTGAAAATAATTACACTATGTTTTATTATGCACTCTCTCTTTCTCTCTCTCTCTCTCTCTCTCTCTCTCTCTATATATATATATATATATATATATATATATATATATATATAGGTTTTTATTATATTTTTTAAAATTAAAAAGTGGATGAAATAATAATTTATATTTTCATGTTCAGAGTGTTTTATGTTTTCTAAAAACACAAAAACATGAAACACTCTGAACATGAAAACAGAAACATGAAAAATGGAAACAGAAGCATTTTTATAAACAGGTGAATAAATTATCGAGATATGGACCAAAGAAATCACTAAGAAATCGATTGCCATTTCGAAACGTAAAAAAGGATGGTAATGGCAAGTTCCGAGAATTATTTCAGGTTACCTGTGACTTCACTGCTAATTAAAAACAATTAGGGCCCCAAAGTGTCGGAGAAAGGAGTGTACATCTGAAAGACAATAAACGCCTGACGTATAAATTTTTAAATTAGATTTTTGGATTAAATATACCTTAAAACATACAATTCAAATTTCTAGGAAATTAAAACCTTCATATTTGTCCCAAGTTATAAAGGATAGGAAGGTACTTGAACATTTTTATTATTTTATGAAGGGTTAAAGCCTGGAATGAGGTTTACCCAGCGTTTTAAATCATAGTACCTACCTCAATAAAGAAGTAATGGACTAAAAACAAAAAGGTTGTTGGTTATGATAGACCTTTTAGAATACCGACTGGAGGGCTGAAAGTGACCAAGACATACTGTCTCTAAGCAAGAATTATACACTGAATCGAAGAGCTTCATTATTTTTAATGATTCAATTCTTTTTCATATATTTTTTAGAATTATCCCTAAATTCAGTGTGAGGTAACTGTAGTCCGTAACCATCTATATACAGGGTGTTTCAGAGTTAATTAGCCAAACTTCAAATATGAACTAAGGAGCTCAAAACAAGAAAAAAAATCCCTCTGAAGTTATGTCCGCAAACGATATATTTAGGAGATATTCACACCTAAAGATTTTTGTTGTTATGAATTATTTACTTACGTTATAAAAAAAAAAAATATATTTGTTTTAACTACTTTACTAATTAAATGTAAAGATTAAAATTCATATTAAATGTTGTTCAAAGTGATTTCCTTGAGCATTAAAAGAGGCTCGGCATCTTTCTTCAAAAGTAGCAGTGGCAGAAATAGCACTGCATTGGATATGTGTTATTGTTTCGCAAGATTCAATTATCCTTCTTCTTAAAGAATTAACGTCAATGACCGGACTTGCTCATTCGTACCCTACATCCCAGCATATCCCAATCAAAGGATTGGCTGTGCTGAAAAAGTGGTTTGGCCTGCACGCTCTCCATTCTTGATAACTCTGGATTTTTTTTTTTTTTTTTTGGGATGACATTAAACAAAAAGTCTATGCAAGTCTGGTCAATGATCTTAATTACTTACGAAGCACCATAATTGAATCTGTTGAAATAAAGTTGAAGAAAGATTCCGAGCATGTCTTAATGCTCAAGTAAATCACTTTGAACCACATATATTATGAATGGTAATGTTTACATTTAATTAATAAAATAGGTAGAACAAATAAATAGGTTTTATTTATTTGATATAACGTAAATAATTCATAACAACGAAAATATTTAGGTGTGAATATCTCCTAAATATATCGTTTGCGGACATAACTTCAGAGGAATTTTTTTTCTTGTTTTGAGGTCCTTACTTACAAGCATAAAAGGAAGTGGTTAGAGTAATTGCAATTGAACCAATAATGTGTTAGTATTGAACATGTAATGACTCGACATATCAAATCCCTTACTTCCACAGAGCCCTCCAGTGCAGTTGGCAGTCATCGAGTCTTTGCCATAGCAGAATTTGCCCCCGTTGGACGGGGATGGGTTGGTACAAGAGCGTCGTCTGTGGTGCTTGCAGTCAGCTGTGCAGGCGGACCACGGCGACCAAGCTGACCATCGTCCGTCCACGGCTGCAACATGAAAGGAAAGAAGTCTTAGCTTTATACATAAATAAAGGATAAAATAATAAAATTGATAACTGAAAACTAATGGCAGTTTTCAAATCTTATTAAGTTCTAAACCATTTCTTTAAGATATTATCAACGGTAGACGTAATCAGGAAGATGACTTTTCGGCCTAAGTTATAGTTGTTCATCAGCGGAACTTGATGAACAAATTCCAAATTCCGAGCAAATTCCAAACAAGGAAAAGAATTCTTAACAAAATTAACAGCATATTTTTTTATTTAATTTTACATTAAATATATGTTGATAGATATTTACGGAACACGGCTATTAAACAAAAAGACAGATACTGTAAAATATTTATTTATACTTTTTTTATCACCTTCAGTACAGACCACTCTTCTACACCTACAATGCCACATGCGAATCATCTACTGTTTGAAACAGTGCTGAAAGTCATTAACCGAATTGTGGATTTTTACTTATGATCTTGACAATAAGTGCCAATCCACTGGAAGAGCCAAAAAATTCGATTGAGAAAATCAAAACTTAAAGTAACTATGATAACAATTGTTTCCATATTTATGGGAATGCGCACTTTTATTGGGTTTCTAAAGTTCAAATTCTCAAAAAAAAAAAAAATAAAAATATTACCAATACAAAACATCTTTAAATAAATATAGCGATTTTTAAGAGAAAAAAAGTATCTAAAACGGGACGAAGAAGGTTTGCATAATAATGGTAAAATTTCTTTCGGACAAAAGATATAAATCATTTTGTAAAATAAAGAGTGAAAAGAAAGCGAGAGAAAGAGCTGTCTTTGTACTCGACACTCCCCGGAAGGTGGCGACTAAGACTTAAGCCTTTTTATACACAATGGTCGTATCCGTTCTCTCTCTCTCTCTCTCTCTTTCGGCTTTATTTGTTCGGAAGTTTCGCAATACAATGGCGGCGGGATCTTTTATAATTTCTGGTAGATATTTTAAATTGTTCCGAATACTGTAAATTACGCTTATAAATGGCGTATTTTCAATTTCTGAAAAAAATATTGTTTTTAATGTTTTTTTAGTATACGACTATGTTTTATAACGTCAAAAGTAATAAATTTCGAAATAATACAAACAATAAACCTATATATTTTTATGTGAAATTATTTTACGTTCCAACATATAATATATTGGGTTGGCAAATATGTCCTTTCGGTTTTTCAGAGTGAAATAGAACTCGATATATTACAGACATAAAATTTATTTTTATCTACAATATATTGACCATTATTTAATATCGCTTTTTCCCATCTCTCCACTAACTGCACAGTACCATGTCCATGGAATGTCTGGAGTTTATTGTTAAAAAAATTATCCAAGTGATTTTTGATGTCCTCTTCCTTTTGGAATTTCTTTCCATTCATGGAGTTCTGCAGAGACCGGAATAAGTGGTAGTCACTTGGAGCTAGGTTTGGTCAATATGGAGGGCGGGACAAAAGGTTTCAACCAAACCTCAATAATTTATTACAAGTGACCAATGAGGTGTGGGGCCTAGCGTTGTCTTGGTGCAATACATCACCTTCCGATGATTCATGACTTTCAGGATGTACTCCAAATTCGATGTAACTATATCCGTCGGAAAGCTGAATTATTCCTTTTCAAAGCCATATGATTTTTTTTTTTTATTTAATACCTACATAAGGAATAAATAAGCAAAAACTCCATTGAGATTTTTATTTTTTCATTCCATATGTAATTTGTTTTAGGAGATCCTGTTGATATCATTTCGTGTAATTTATGTGGTCCTAAATTCCTGCCGAATTTCTTGCAGACAGCTAAAGTCGTTTTGAAGTTATAACATTTATTGTGAATTTCGAAAAAGAATCATGGGAGGGGCCCAAACATTAAGCTAGGAAACATAGTCGAACTTGTGGAAATGGTTTTCTACGCTGATGTGCGACACATTTAGGACCATAGCAATCTCTCGCACTGGTTGGTGGGATTTTGATCAACAATGGGCGTATCGTTGCTCGATTCAATTTCATTTGGCAGACGTTGAACATCATTGATGCCGAAATTTCCCAAGATTCCCCAGAATGAAATTTGGCAAACCAATTTGGCATGTGCGTTTGGTTAAGGCATCATCCTCATAAACACTGCAAATTTTTCAATGAACTTCTGCAGCACGCTTACGTTTTTTAAAATAATATAAGAAAATATGGCGATAATGAACGATATTTTCTTCCATATTCGCTGTGCTAACAGCAAACATAATTCTAAGCTAGGTTCAACAAGAGTTAGCAGATATAGATGTTGATATATTACAAACAGGATAAACAATCCACCTAAGAGATTAATTCAACAGATAAGAAGTGTATCATAGTGACATAAAAATAAACAGAAAATCCGAAAGGACTTATTTGCCGACCCAATATTTTTATTTTTCGTTGGCATTACAGTCTTGAAGATCATTTTCCACGTTAACCAGCCTTCTCCATCTCTGCCTATTCTGGGCTATTTCTTTTCCGTTAACTGAATTCGATTTATTTGATTTGATTCGACTTCACCATTTGCTTTTTGGTCTACCACATAGTTTCTAGTCTACTTTAGAAGCATTCATTGTTGGGTGGAAGTTTCTTAATAGATTGCTACGGCCTACATGCCCAGTCTATCTTTACCTACTTGCCTTCATATAATGAGATATTGATTGAATAGTTTCTGTAAGCAGTTCTATATTGGTCTTCCTTCCCCATACATTAGTGCTCTGATTGCAAGTTGCTCCAGTTATCGTACAGAAGATTTTTCTCTCAAATCTTTCAATTTTATCATGTTATTAAAAAGTGAAAATATAATTATTCATTGAAACACAAACAAATTAAATAAAGTTATTTGAAATAATAACTTAATTTCTAGGGTGATAAATAGTCAGGACGCAGTCATTGTAAATGTTTTTTTATTTTAACAAAAATGTTACAGCCCGCCCTCTGACTTTGTTTATCTCCCTTTGCTATTTAAAAAGCACATCTGGAAAATCCTCCAGCGATCCTTTTCCTTAACTATCTGAGGGCCAGTACTTGAATAACTTGAATAACTGCGTCATGACTATTTATCACCCATGATATGTAGAATAGTCGACTAACTTCCTTCAATAATTTAATTTCAGTAATTCGTTTTGCTGTGATTGACTTGCGACAGATCCCTTCTTTTAGAGGTAACAGAAAGCCGTGTTGATTATTGAAGCTGAACCGGACAGCAATATACGGTCCAGGTGCTAAGCCTAATGAAAGTGTGGCCATCACTAAGCATGAATAGCTAAAGGGCTTAAGTTAGTGGTCAGTCGGTCCCTGTCCCCTTAAATAATATATTTGTTCTGGGCTTCAGTTTGGACTCGACAGCAACGCTCAACTCCGGGCAAACACAATCGAGGCTGTTCGATTGTTAAAACCATATTTTCCTCTTGTATTTATGTATTTGATATAACTTTCGTTCCTAAATCACAAAACCGATATTTCTGAAATGCTGAATTTTTCTGGAAATTTAAATAGTTTTAATATGATAAATTTTAATTATTTTTTGAAACTATATTCTTCAAATTACCAATATTTATAAAGAATTTAAATATTAATCACTTTAAGAGATGTTCATACAAAAAATTAATTTTTAAAACTTTGTTTCTTAATCTGGATGTAATTTGCTCAGTTTAATGATAGTTAAATATATTTTTCTAAAAAATTATATTTAATTACCATCTTATGTTTAAGATTTAAGAAAATTATCTATAGTTAGTTACTTCAAGGCTAATAACCAGCCGTCAATCAATTACACCAAACAGGATTTACTATTCCTCCGAAAAATAATTCTTGAATTGCTACCGTACGATGAAAGAAATATCGCTACTATTAGTGCAAGAGGTCGTATGTAAAAATTTTACATGTTTGTTCTTTTGCACTAGACGTGAAATTTTGTAGTTTGCAACTGCTTTAAGTAATATTCTAAATATTAAAATAGCAGAGCGAAATAAAATATGAAATTATACTGATAAATCATAAAGAAATGCTCTTCTGTCAAAAACTCAATTTTTACATTTTTACTTTTGAACTAACAGTACCGATATGCTAAGTGATGTTAGTATCATGGAAGGTGTTCATAATGGCAGTCATCGATGCCTTGAATTTATAAATATAGTTTTAAATTATATTTAAATTTCTTAGAATATCGAAAAACATTACATATAGATTAATCAAAAAATAATTAAATAAATAAAACAATAGAAGGAATAATCTTCTTTTAGTCATTTTCAAAAGAAAAAAAAACTGAATAGCTCACTGAAGACAGAAAACCACAGGTAGAGAATATAGTTCAAAAGTATGCAATGCTAATTTTCGTTTTTACTTATATCGGTATTTATATTAGTTTTCATTCAACTTTTCCGGTTATTCTACATCATTTTTGCAAGTTATGAAACTCTTCAGAAATGTCTACACAATAAATTCAGATAAGAGCGCAAAGAAAAGTTTAAAGCTTATCTATTAATATATTAATTTATAGCCTATTGAGGAGGTACTGATCAAATATTAGTGACTGAAATGCAAAAATTTTAGGTTCTCGTTTCTTACTGAAGTACAATTAATTGTATTAACTTCATATGTCACAAAAATTGGTAATCTTTTTGTAAGTAACATTAATATGTGATCACATTTAGTAAAAAAATGAAACTTAGTCTACAAAAAATATCACTAAACATGAAAAGTATGAATCTCTATATTTGCTCCAGCTGAAAATGAATTAAAAATTGTGAAATGCAAACAAGTTGTAAAAATTTTAGTTGGTCATGGAATGAATCTAATTTAAATAATAGCTAATTTACTACATCCAAATGTTTATTGATTTTTATATACTTCTCTTTTATTTTATTTATTAATAACTAGATGGCCCATGCGAATGATTCGCATAAAATATTTGTCAGTGAACAACTGAAACAATTGTATGGAAATTTGTTAATGCAGTTTGTATTAGGAGGTGGATAAAATCAATACTTGGTCGAATTTATTTAGTTAATTCATGATAATAAACCAAAACATTTGTATAATTTATTTTAGTCTATATCTTTGCACATAATTGTCCCATTCCGATTTCTTTTTTTTTTTATTGTGAAATGCAATCAATTTGTAGCAATTTCAGTTATATGGTCATGGAATGAAACTAATTAAAATAATAGTTAATTTACTATATACAAATGTTAATTGAGTTATATGTATTTCTCTTTTATTTTATTTATTCATAATATTATTGTTTATTTTTATTGTTGTTAAATTGATAATAGTTTTATAGAAAACAGTGATTTCATATTAGTCAATTATCAGAAAATTCATTTCTGCATTTCTTGGGAGTTCCGACACTAATCATGGGAAAGTGACTGAAAATCCCAATTTCCATAAGTAAATAGAAAACGATTAACTGTGTATATGACTGCTGAGAAGTCAGAGCTTCCAGTAGTTTGTTTCCTCAAGGCATATTTCAGAAGCGGTAGTTCGTCTCTGTTGTCCTAAACTCTCAGGTGTAATGGAGGAACCAAAGAGACCGACCGCAACGAACATGTAAGACGTTTTAATTGGAGAGGGACATGTTTGACTTGGTAGGAGTCAATAGTACCCGTACATGTACCTTTGTTGACTGCCAGTTCGAACCTACTGCATATCCATGAGTTCCAGTCGTCCGTCCAAACACTATCGTCTCCAATACACGCAGAAGTTTCTAGGACTGGACCTTATTGCCAGATGTTCTCTGTCTTCTCTGTAACGGTTCTCAGAGAAACTTCAAGACGGAATGAAAACATGGTATGTGATACATTGTGTGGAAGAAAATTTGTAATTTTAAACTATAGAAGAAAAATTTCTAGTTATCGATATTCTGTAGAAATGTTGAGTTCGTGAATAATAATTAAAATATTATTTGATAAGAAAAAAAGGGACATTTATCCAAATGAAGAATTATTTGCTGTAAGATATGAAGGTTATTAATAAAAATGGTAATGAATTCGCTAAGGTTTTTTATGTGAAATAAGAAATTTTATTTCTATCCCATTTTTTTTTTTTTGCCAAAAAGGAAATATTTAAAAATTGAAGTGTTTTAACTAAGTATTTCATTGGCCAAACTTAGTGAAATTTAGTTATACCTACTCAAGAATACTTGGGCATATAATATATTGAAGAGGGGAGGGGGAAAAGCATCACTGAAACTTCCAAATAGTAAAAATAGTTTTGTTTTTGGAATTTTGACATTTGTGCAAAGTTTTAGGGGAAAAATAATGAAAAGAGGTCTAAAATATAGACTAATCAAAGTAAAAATTAAGTTTTCGTACTGGATGTCTGACTTTTGAGCAGATAGTGAAAATTATCAAGACCAAAAACAATTATATTTTTTTGTTTAATATCAAACCTGCTATAATAAAATATATATAGGATATATGCAGTTCCAAAAATTATGGAGTTCATTAACATAAAAAAATAATGATTCCGTTATTAAAATTTGTTTAAAGGAGAAATGAGCTGCGTTTTAATATTTTTATTTATTGACACGTATGACATTAAAAGGTTTAAATTAAATGAAATATTTAATTATGTATTTCTGCCAATTGAATACGGTACTTCAGCTGCATTAGTTATACCCGAAAGTTAAATATTTCAGATTATCTCAATTCGAGATAATCCATTCATTATCCATTACCTAATATATTATCATACTATATTGTATTGAACTTGAAATAATTATATAATTAATATTCAAACTTGCTTCATCATGTTATTGAACTTGATGCGTTTTCAACAAACAATACTTAGATTTTCTGATTCCTATTACTATGGCTGATCTGTTTGAAGAAAGATCCAAAGCCACCATCAAACATCATTAAGGCCTCTCCTATCCACCTTGTTTGGTAGCGGCGTACGATGATTGCGTTGTGCCAACTCAACCGAGCTTCCTCACTTAGCAATTATCCGAGACAATGCAAAGTAGGCGAGTGCAAACATCCATTGTACAGTCAGGA